TAATAATAATAATAATAATAATAATAATAATAACTTTATTTAAGTGTCAGGGTAAGTATTTAGCTTACAGAAGCTAATTGGGGACACTACTACGCTACAATAGATTAAGATTATAATGTAATAAACGTAATGATCTTTGACTGTGAAACACTACAGTAGTATCATTCTCAGCTATTTCGACTATTTCGCGTGCAGCAAAAACGCTCCATGTGAAAGTTCAAATTACACTCAGAAATTGTTCTCACCCTACCTAGACACAAAGCCTACTGGCGACAGAAATGCTTTTTAAAGCATCAATGATGTATCAGTAAGATTATTATGCTTGACAAAATCTTCACTACTTGTTCAACAATTCGCCATCAAACCAAATCTTCTTCTGCACCACAACACCAGTCGTAATTTCCTCCCCCTGGATTCCAACAAAATGTAGGTCGTAACTATGCTCTGTCAGGGGGTCCACAATTTTCCCTCCTTGCTCAGTTGGTGATCCAGGAACTCCGAGCAGCTCAGCATCCACGCCTTGCTTGAGAATCACAGCTGCCTCTGTAGGCTCACCCAATCCTTGAGGGTTTTTTGTCAGTTTAACAATCTATACAGCAAAGCAAACAATTGTTTCACTATTAGCGGATGGTAGTAGTAAACAACACTAGGCTCTTTTATATAATGAGTCAAATTATTCCCGCATTTTGATTGGTTCTCACCTAATATCTATACAGACACATAGATGAGGTCAATATAACAACAATTTCCTTCTGTGTTTTAAAATGGAGGAAGGTCTTCAGAATTTAGACAATATTTTACGTGGCTGGCAAAAAAGTCTTATGGAGGCTGTGAACAGGTACGAGAAGCAAGAAGAAGAATGAAAAGGCCGTTTTTTAGAAAATGACTCTGAATTATTCAAATACAATGTTTGTAATCCGTGTTAATCTTCTCCATTCTTAGCCATCCTTGTTCTTTTCTGGTTTATTATTATCTCTTTGGTGTTTATATATGCATTTAAGGTGATATTTTCGGGTTTCTTTAAATTTAAAAGCAATTTCTTACGTGGCCCAAATAATGCAAGCAGAATGCCACGACTGGGCTTCTTTAAACATTTTTCTATTCAAGTTCAGCTCGTAAAGAACGGCGCTTTGTTTTTCAACTGAAAGCAGACCATGTCGTCGACGTCTCGAAGCCGTCGCCGGTGTATATCGGTTTCCGTCTGTTGAAAAAGTCGCTATAGTTTCTCAGGTGCTCCCAAAGTTTTCTTGTGTTGGACATTACTATCGTTTATACCCTCATCGACCAAAGCTCTTAACCTATGAGCACGCCGAAGTTTTGCTCATTTTTGTTCGCACATCGGCCTACCTGCAAGTAATCCGGGTCCTTTGTTGGAGTGTGGAACAAGTAAGCATTGCCCACGTCACCGTACATGAAGTATGTGGCATTCTCAGGGTACAGATCATCAGCTTTATCAAAGTGATCATAGCGCGGTACATCAACAATCTTCATGTCAGCTGTCATGAACGGTGCGCCACTGTCAAGGCCAACGAAGAAGTCAAACTTCACGCTGAGTTGTTCCTCCCCTGAATCGTTAAACAGTAGGTCATGAAGCCTCTTTGGTTCATTCTGTAGATTTCGTAACACTATCGGTGTCGACTCGCTACCAGACTTCTCCACGGTGGTATTGAAAGTTGCCACATCGTCGTCCGACAGGAACCTGAACCTAGCAACAGCGAAGTACTCGCGCACAGTTTGTTTGAAGTTTCCCGCATAACATACAAAGACGTCTTTCTCTGCGTTCACCCTGTCTGTGCTTACGAAGCTGTGGACGTCAGGTGCGTCTGTGACCTGTTGAAGAAGGTTTATTTAAAAAAAAAGAAAAAACGCAAAATAAATACTCCTATGGGGAAACTAAATGACTGACGTATTTTCTTCTTTTATTTGAAATATCTGATCACAAGTTTGACTAGAAATACCAAAATTACCAAGTAAATTATGATAAAGATTAATAAAATTTGAAAACAAAAAAACTCATTTTTCCTTCAAGCATAATTGAGATTTATGTCCGAACGTTTTTCAGAACGTTTTTCAGTTTTTTTCTTCCTTTTCTACTGATATGCTGCTGAAATTGTTGAAAACGATTTTTTACTACGTCTATGTGAGTATTTAACGATAAAGGTCTGCAGACTTCGACAGTTTCCATGTCATTATACCTGTCTCATAGTTTATTACTTACAGTTCCAATGGCATTCAGGATTGCATTTCTCATGATGCCGGCTAAATCGTCCATGAATTCCATGGAGGAGGACCACGGGTCCAAGCAAGTAGTTATTATGTACTTCACTCCATCTTTGTTCTTTGGGTTCAGCTGTCATGGGTGACAAAAACAAAACGAGGAAACTGATCAGGCGAAAGCTGGCTCTCGATCCGTGACTCGTCGAGAAGCTAGGCCCGTGTTTGAAAATTTTTGAGACTGAGAATACCTATAGTCGAGATCTCGTATTTCTAGATCGGATCAATAAGAACATCTGAGACACTTGATTTTGTAGACACCATTCTCCACCATTCAATTGTGTGATCTGGGGATATTATGGCCTCAAGGTAATTTATTTGCTGTTCCGTGGGAACTTTATTATTAATTTCTGATAGAAAACAGTCATCAAAAGGAACAGAGAGGACATACAATCGAACGTTTACTTTAGGGATTTACTAACGGCCACTTCCCCACAACGGCCACCTCTCCATAGCAGCCACATTTTCGTCCAACTTGAGAGATTTGCTCTTATTCTAGCCTTCCAACAATGCATGGCTACCTCAGTCTCCAAAATGGCTAATAAACTCTGTTCCCAGGGTAGCCGTTGTAGAGAGGTTCGACTGTATTTGATTTTCCTTACCCCAAGCCTTTTCTTGAAGTGCTCCAATGCAGAGCTGTACTGGTGATCTTTCATCGTAGAGGACGTCACAATCATAGGCATTCGCTGTTCAGATTCGTCGGCAGAGTCGTGACAGAGATCGTTGAAAATTGCAGTATTAACGGCATTGCATACATTAACATCTTCATTCCCACTGATATTGACCGAGAAGCATGGGATCAAAGTGTCTGGACCAATCTTCCGTAAAACGGCCATTGCATGCTCGTCCTTGAGACAAGAACAAAAACTCGGGTTTTAGTTTCTTTCGAATCAAAATTGTTGTTTAAAAAAAGATAAAGTTTGTAGTTTGTATCTACAAGCCTTAATGGCTTATCAGTCCGATGCTTAACCCCGGTCTCGATAAAATTAATCTACCAGGAAAATTTATACCTCATTAGCTTGCATGGACGCTAGTCCATCCCTGTACGTCCTCCCTCGCCCTACCTCCGAATTTTTTTGTTAGGTTGCAACAAATGCACTTGCATAACGGTTTCTACCCCTGGGTGGTATGAGTCAAAAGTGAGAAGATTAAAATAAGGCTAATATACAATAATTTGTTTATAGTCTTTCTATTTTCTACGATCGTTGATGACGTATAAATATAGAACCGCTGGGAATGAATGCATCGCGCTCGTTCCCTCGTGCTCGCTCCGTTGGCTTGCCTTTGACCAAGGAGAACCAATTTTGGACAGACTACCAATAATCTAATAATACAGTGTAAGCACCTTTGAGAGTTCCTCGTTGGTTTTTCCCAGTATGTTCTCTTTTATGAAGGTTTTGTAGTCAACATCCTCCCCAGGTACCTTTCGTTGTGGTAGCGGCTTGGTGGTTTCAAGAACAAAATTGTCAAAGTCCTCTGCCATGCACACCCAATAGCAGTACAGGATCTTCGAGGTGAACATGCACTCCGATAAAATACGGCCGTACCCGTTCTTGTGGAGACCAATCACCTGACGGAAACAGAAAAGAAACAGAAACATCGGTTAAAGAAAGGACTTGATCTCAATCGTACAAGATGCACCTTTCCCACCAAGGGTTTAAATTAACAGTTAGATCAAGGAGTCTTAAGTTAAAAGTTGCGTCAAAGCACATGGACAAGCTGCCGAATTGCAAATTACAACTTTGTTTCTCAATCGTGGTTTTGGCACCCGCTTCTTTCGCTGGGACCTATAAAAGCGCTACGTCCCAGTTGGATGAGTAGACTCTTAAATAACACTCATGACACCTGGACGGCGATCCCTAATTACTACTTCGATAAACATGGCGGGCTCCTTTTTCTTCTAAACTGTAATTACAGTGTCGAGAAATTAGACAGAAAAATCCCTCTCTTTTAT